AGTGGGTTTCCGAAGTCAAATATGTATTGGAAGCAAGAAAAACTTATTTCTTCGCTTCGTGGTAAAAAACGAAAATTTTTCAAGACCCGGGACAACGTCCTCTCAGCTCGCGGCGCATCGGCAATGGTCGAGGTGAAGTTTAAAAGCAAAAGCGCTCTGATGAGGCGGGTTCTTCTTCATAATTATACAGGTGCTCATAGCAATTTTATTTTGTAATAGCTGCATGCAGCAATAGATTTCTGACACAAGCGACCTATTCAACTGGCTCTAACCCGTATTCTGTGGCAGCAGCCGATGTCAATGGGGACGGTAAACCAGACATTATTATCGCGAACTACAATGCAAACAACTCCGGTGTTCTTCTCAACAACGGCAACGGCACGCTTGCTGCGCAAGTAACCTATCCAACTAGCTCGCAACCGATCTTTGTGACAGTAGCCGATATTGATGGGGACAACAATGCTGATATTATTGTCGCAAACCAAGGTGCAAACAACGTTGGTGTTCTTGTCAATACTGGCAATGGCACGTTTGTTGCTCAAGTGACACATTCAACTAGCTCTGGACCGCAATCTGTGGCAGCAGCTGATGTCAATGGGGACGGAAAACTCGATATTATTGTCGCAAACAGTAATGCAAACAACATCTTCTATTTTGATTAATTTATAATTGAATGACAAGTAGCGTGAGAGAGGAAAGGAAATAATAAAAAGTAATGTCAAAGTATAATCGAGAATATTTGCCAACTGTACACCAAAAGTGCAATGGTAGAGTAACAAGTATAAAGCAAGGAAACAATGATTGCACATCATAATGGATACAATAACTTTTCTTGTCTGATATTTTCGTGAATCTAAATTCTAAATAAATTATGTTCAATTGCACTTAAAGCTGGTTTTATAAGCGAGACTTCTCAAATATTATTAAGTGGAATCCATGATTCTGGAATGGATAATGCCAGAACCGATAAAGCTGCTCTGTACAGTCCATAGTATTACTATGGCGTATCCAAGGGGGAGGGCAAATGGGCAATTGCCCATTTCATTTGGAGATTTGCCCATCGTAATTTTCATTAGTAAGCTTTTGCCCATTGAAATTTTACTTGGCAGATATATCCAAGCAGTTTTTTTTCGCATAACGTTTAGAAAGATATATGTAAGAGTGTGGATAGACAGAATTTTTGTTTATTTTTGAATTAGATAGTAAATGAATTTTTTTTCTTCGGTCTGAATCTCACATACACTCTTTGCTTCTTCTTTCTGTGAAGCATAAATAAAGGAAGAAGAAAAGAATCGCTTCTTGTATTTTAGCTTATGCATGTTTTTTTTCCTGGCCCATCAACAAAAAACCTTGCCCATTTTGCCCATCGTTTTTTTTCCTACACAATAGAAGTTTGCCCATTGGTGTAAAAATCCTGGTT